TTTTAAATTCATTTGTTGATAAATAAATAAAATCTTTAAGATACTTAACAAATTAATTTTTTATAATCACTCCCTTGCTTTGCTTCCTCTATTCTATTCCACTTTCTTACTTTGACAAACTTAAAGACGGCCTTGCCTAAATCTAATTCTTTGTTTTCTTGCACTCATATGTCTGGGGAAAATATATAATCCTGCTCTAATATTACTTTAATTTCTTTTTTAAAAAAAGATGATTGGGGATGGTACTGTGATGCAACAGGTAAAGCTGCCACCTGCAGTGCCAGCATCCCATATGGGCACTGGTTCAAGCCCCAGCACTACACTTCTGAACTAACTCTCTGCTATCGCCTGGGAAAGCAGTAGAAAATGACCCAAATCCTTGGGCCTCTGCACCTACATGGGAGACTCAGAAGAAGCTCCTGGCTTTAGGTCAGCCCAGTTTTGGCTGTTGCAGCCATTTGAGGAGTGAACCAGTGGATGGAAGACATGTCTCTCCCTCTCTCCCTCTCTCCCTCTCTCCCTCTCTCTCTCTCTCTCCCGCTCTCTGCTTCTCAAATAAACAAATACATTTTAAAAAATTATTTGAAAGGCAGAGTTCATTACCCAAATGGCCAAAACAGCTGGACTGGGCCAAGCTGAAGCTATAAGCTTCATCCAGGTCTCCCACATGAATGGCAGAGGCTGAAGCATTTGGGCCATCCTCTGCAGCTTTTCCAGGTGCAGTAGCAGGGAGCTGAATTGGAAGGGGAGCAGCCAGGACTGAACTGGCACCTATAGAAGATTCTGGCCTTAGGCATGGCTTAACCAGCTACTCTACAGTGCCGATCCCCGCTTTAAATTCTTTCATTTGTTAAATATTTATTTATTTGAAAGGTATAACATTACAAACAGAAGGAAAGACACAGAGCTTCCGTCTGCTGGCTCACTCCTGAGAAGGCTACAGCAGCCAAAACTGGGCCAGGCTGAAACCAGGAGCTTCTTCCACATCTTCCATTTGGGTGGTAGGGGCCCAGAGACTTTGGCCATTCTCTGCAGCTTTCCCAGGAGCATTAGCAGGGAGCTGGATTGGAAGTGGAGCAGCCAGGACACAAACCAGTGCCCATTTGGGATTCTGGCAATGCATGCCACAGCTCATTCATCTATGCCACAACGCCAGCCCCACTTTAAATTCTTTTTTTTTTTTTTTTTTTTGACAGGCAGAGTTAGACAATGAGAGAGAGAGAGAGAGAGAGAGAGAGAGAGAGAGAGAGAAAGGTCTTCCTTTTTCTGTTGGTTTACCCCCAAATGGCTGCTATGGCCGGCGCGCTGCACCGATCCGAAGCTAGGAGCCAGGTGCTTCCTCCTGGTCTCCCATGTGGGTGCAGGGCCCAAGGACTTGGGCCATCCTCCACTGCACTCCCTGGCCAGAGCAGAGAGCTGGCCTGGAAGAGGGGCAACCCGGACAGAATCCGGCGCCCCTACCGGGACTAGAACCCGGTGTGCCAGCGCCGCAAGGCAGAGGATTAGCCTAGTGAGGCACAGCGCCGGCCTATAACTTTTAAATCATACCACTTGCCTGAGCAAAGCTTTCCAAAGCTCTCGTTGAGAAGCCAACAGATTCAGGAAATGATAATGTGAGTTTCGTCAGAGCTCATCATCTCAAGCATCCTGCAATCCAAACTGGGATATACCAGTCTTTTGCAAAAATTATATTTGCATGGCCAAGCAAAAGGAAGCAAGGGTTCATGCTCCAAAATACCTCCTCCTCTGTCTCAGGGAAGGAGCTCATATAGCTACAGAGGCATGGGAGACCAGGAGAAGCAACTGGCTCCTGCCATCGGATCAGCATGGTGCGGCAGCCATTGGAGGGTGAACCAACGGCAAAGGAAGACCTTTCTCTCTGTCTCTCTCTCACTGTCCACTCTGCCTGTCAAAAAAAAAGTTATTCAGACAGTCTCATCAGAAGTCTGGGCCCCAGGGTACATGCCCATAGTCCTTCTCGTGGATCTCAGAGGGCTGGTCCTTTGTTGTAGACAAGCATTTCGGCCTATAGCTGACTGCAGGAGTTTCCAGGAAAATATCAGACTGAAATGATAACTGTCTTTTTCTAATGTGGGCCGAGCTGTCTCAGAGCCATGATGGAGTCTCCCTGGGGCAGTTTAAAGAAGGAAGCTCCTTGTTCACCATGGACCTTGCCCAGTTTTTTGCTAGCCTGCCGCCAGGCTCTGGAACTCCTACCACCAACTGCAAGGAAGCAGACGAGGCGTGTTTACCACTGCGGCTGCTGGCATGTGCCCATGGAATTAAACCCGCTTTATATCTTCATTCATTAAAACATAGAAGCAACAAGAAGACACTTTGTTTTTCCACATAAACTAGTCATTTATTAGGACATAGGGGTTTCCAGTAAATACCCGGCGTTGCAAGAAGCGACAGCACCCAGGAAGGCTCAGTTCTGCAGCAGCGAGTTCTTACTTCCTCCACTCGTTCTTGTTTTAGTCTCACTTGGCAGAGAAGCCCTGGATGGGGCTGACCTTCACGTTGAGCATCTTCTTGGTCTTCATGGCCACCCCACTCTTTGTCAAAGGTGTGTGGGATGGGGCCGTACACGTAGTGCTTCTCCTAGATGAGAACAAGTGCAGTGAAGCTGATGGAGAACAGGGCTGTACCCACCACTGTCTTCCAGTTGTTCTTGCCCCTGTTCATCTCAGCAAAGCTCTCGTTGAGCTGAATGCTATACAACTTGACCTCCTCATCCCTGGTGAGGCTGCTCCAGGGGGCCTTCTCCTCTTTCAAGGCCTTCTGGCTGGCAGATGGTTGCTTTACATGGGCCACGTCAGGCAAGGGGTAGTCACACCGATCCACATAGCTTGGGAGAGCACAGTCCTCACTCTTCACAACACTTCCCATACCTGCACACACACTGAGGCGGAAATTGCCCGCTTACCAGTTAGGCTAAATACCCTGTGGCCAACATCCTCCACTGCTGTGACCCTGCCTGCTGTAACCGCTCTCTGAAACCTTCTGAAAGGACTTTTTTTTTTTTAAGATTTATTTTTATTTATTTGAAAGATAGATAGAGAAAGAGAGAGGGAGGGAGGGAGGGAGAGAAAGAGGAAGAGATCTTCCATTTGCTGGTTTACTTCCCAAATGTTTGCAATGGGTGGGACTGGGCCAAGCCTGAGCCAGGAGCTTCTTCTGGGTCTCCCATGTGGGTGGCAGGAGCCCAAGCACTTGGGCCATTCTCCACTGTTTTCCGAGGTGCATTAGCAGGGAGCTGGATCTGAAGTGGAACAGCCAGGACTTGAACTGGTGCCCAAATGAGATGCCTGTGTTGCAGGCAGCAGCTTAACCCTATCTTCTCTCCTGCTGTGTCACATAGCTCTACTAACGCCTTACTAGCCTCACACCTTCACTTGTCCTGGAAACCCCATCCCTTTTTGTATTTACAAGGAGAGAGCTCTAGAAAGTCTTTGTTTCCTGTGTTAACAAGATTATTTGTTGGATTAGTACTGTCAGAATATATTCAGTTAGGAAATATTTTGTCTCCTGGGTGTCAGGTGCAGTTTTTGGTGCTAAGAGTACGATCTCAAAAAAAAAAAAAAAAAAAAATATATATATATATATATATATATATATATATAAAAGTTAATCATCTCATTGTAGAAGATTAAAACATGCTGTGAAAAATAAAGGTGGAAGAGATAATTACAGATGACTTGCAAGTGGCTGCTTGGAGTGTTAGACTGAGAAGGATTCTGAGGTTGGGTCTGTGTAGCTTGGTGAAAAAATCCTGTGGAGAGTCTGCATTGACTGTCTCCACTGCCGAAGAGGGAGCAGCAGTGCATCAGGAGCCATCTCAGCTGCCGCCCAGAGAGATGAACTTTTCCAAGGTTTTGTATCGGCTAGAAAAGAAACTGAATCTAGGCACACTGGTGTCAGCATCCATACTTTGAGCCATTATACTGTGCTTCTTTTCATTGACCTTTTCTTGGCTGTTACCTGATAGAATTTAATGACTTTTTGTCTAGCTGATTCTAGGGGCTGTGAATACTAGATTAAAGCAGCTGTCAAAAGCCTTACAAGGTAGATGTGGATATGGATGCTTCTTTAAAATGGCAGTACAATAAGTGGCATGCTGAGTGAGAGCAAGGGATATGGTGATAAGTAGTGAGAATATCAGGAAGCAGTAGTCTAGGAATAGGTCTTACAAAAGGCTTCATACAAGGACTCAGGCTTGTTCTGGACTGGTAAGAATGGGTATATTTAGATTTTTGATGATTGCTTATGGGTAAATATAAAAATCAATGGATGGCATTATAGATAGCAACAACAGCTAGAGCAGAGGTATGTACATAGAAAGGAACATGGAATATTTGGGAAAAATTTATTTAATTTTTCACTGGTTGATGTGTCCAGAATGGGTGATGGAGTGGAAAGGAATACCAAGGTCAGGTTGTGAGCAGTCTGGAGTGGAGATCCACAGAATGCTGTGCATTTGCACTGGGTTTTGTTTGTAGAGTAGAACTACATAACTCTCAACCATTTATATTTCTTATTTTCAATTTATATAACTTGGGGCCAGGCATTGTGGTGCAGTTGATTAAGCTGCTGCTTGGGACAGCTATAGTCCATATGAGACTTTTTGGTATGGAGTCTTGCCTCCATTTCCCATCTAACTTCCTGCTGGTGAGCACATTGGGAAGTAGCAGGTGATGGCTCAAGTACCTGGGTCCCTACCACCCTGCCACCCACATGGGAGACCCTGATGGAGTTCCTGGCTCCAGGCTTCAACCTGGCCAGCCCTTGCTGTTGTGGGCATTTGGGGAGGGAACCAACAGATGGAAAAATCTCTGTCTCTCTCCCCAACTCCTTTCCTTTCCCTCCTTCCTCCACTCCCCAGCAAATTCTTCCTGTCACTTTGCTTTTCAAGTCAATAAGTAAACTTTAAAAAGTTTGTGTCTTGATTTATATGTGTCTTGATTTATATCTATATATTTAAAGAGACATTTTATTTCTAGAGTGCCAGTTAATGAAAACAGAACGACCAAAGCCAAACACATTTATTATCAGATGTCTCCAGTGGACCACTGTCATAGAGAGAACATTTCATGTAGATACTCCAGAAGAAAGGTAAGAAACTCAATATTTTATATTCTGTGAAAAAGTAATAATCTAAAGATGCATTTGTATTTGACGTTACCATTTGTAAACATATATATATATACATTTATTTGTAAAATGCTGCCATCTCTTAATTATTTTGTTCTGATATATGTGTGTAATGTGGGCTTGCAAAACACTTAATCAAAATATTTGGGAAATGCCATGAGAAATGCTTCTTCAGAGTAAGCAAGACATTTACAGGATAAAATATAAATTACAAAAGACATTTTTATAACCAGGCTACCTTTTTTTAAATTGTAGAATTGATTGTATTCATATTTGGAATGTTGAGACTAGTGATAACAAAAGCTAGCATACCAGCATAGATTAATGTAAGTGGCTGTCTGTGGTATTAATTAGAGAAGGGTTCTGAGATTGGATCTGACTAAGCTCTGTGGAGGGAAAAATACTAGGAATGATTGTCACTGACCATCTCCATTCTATAGGGAGGATTGCACTAGTAACTTGCTCACCAACTTTATCAGGGCTACATTTTTTTTAAAGATTTATTTATTTATTTATTTGAGAGGTAGAGTTACAGAGAGAGGGAGAGACGAGAGAGAGGTCTTCCATCTGCTGGTTCACTCCCCAAATGGCCACAACTGCCGGAGCTGCACTGATCCGAAGCCAGGAGCCAGGAGTTTTCTTCTGGGTCTCCCACGTGGGTACAGGGGCCCAAGGACTTGGGCCATCTTCTACCGCTTTCCTAGGCCATAGCAAAGAGCCAGATCAGAAGAGGAGCAGCTGGGATACAAACCAGTGCCCATATGGGATACAGTGCTGCAGGCCAAGGCTTAGCCTACTATACCACAGCACAGGCCCCGGGGCCACAACTTTAAGCTCCCGAACTACCACCAGCAACCATGTCCTCACTTCCCAGTTCTATTTAATATTTTTTATTTTGTGACTCTGACACTGAGTTAGGTTGGTGATTATAATCACAAAATCATTTGCCTGTGCGTATGTTACCATGTTTGATCTTAATCAGAAACGTGGAAAAGTTAGGTATTATTAATCTTATTTTCCAAATGAATAAATGAAGTTTTAACAGACTGGTCTGAAATTTTAATGAAAACAGCCTCAGCCTCAAAAAAGTACTCTAACAAATGGTAAGGTATTCGTTTAATAATGCCTTTTGATCAACAGAATAAATGGAAGTACATAAGAAATACAGAAAATAAAAAAATAGAAATTAGTCATAATTCTAGTTCTCTAACCAGAGTTGAGCACTGATGTTTTCTTTTACATACTGCAGTCTTATTCTGTGCAGCTGTGTGCATTGCAGGCAGTGAATCTGTGTGTCCTTTTTGGCCCCCACCTTCTCTGGGTCTTTTCATATACTGAGTTCTCTGTGTGCTTATACCCTCCACCCATGCCCATGGTTGGGCTAATTTCTATGATCTTTCAGATGTGAGCTTAAAGTGTCACATTTCTTACAAAGCCTCTGTTACTCATAGACTGGATAGGGCCCCCTGCTCAATCTTGTACTTTTTATATCAAGGATATCCTGACTACAATCTTGGTTTGCCTTTCCTCCTGAACTGTAAGATTCTTTATAGCAAGGATCATGCCTTCCTTACTCTTTTTTTTTTTTTTTTTTTTTTAAGTACATAGAGTCCAGAGCCCAGCACACAGTATTGGTTTACTGGCTGTGGAGTGGAGCTTTTTCCCTGTCAATATATATTCTCTGAAAATGTTATTCGTAGTGGACTTGGAACATCTCATTGAAGCATGATTCATCTTGCCATTTGAGTTTACAAAGCTGGATTTATGCCAGATCTTGAGATTCTAAAATCTTTTGCTGTTTCCACAATAATACCACGCTACTCTTCTGAAAAATCATTGGTTTCCATTAACATTTGTGAGTAGAAGTAACAGTTTTAGTAAAAATGAAAAGCAGCATATTTATATTGGCCATTAGAGTGTGCTTTTATTTATTTATTTATTTAATTTATTTATTTTGATAGGCAGAGTGGACAGTGAGAGAGAGAGACAGAGAGAAAGGTCTTCCTTTACCATTGGTTCACCCTCCAATGGCCACCGTGGCCAGCGCGCTGCGGCCAGCTCACCGTGCTGATCCGAAGCCAGGAGCCAGGTGTTTTTCCTGGTCTCCCATGTGGGTGCAGGGCCCAAGTACTTGGGCCATCCTCCACTGCACTCCCAGGCCACAGCAGAGAGCTGGCCTGGAAGAGGAGCAACCGGGACAGAATCCGGCACCCCGACTGGGACTAGAACCCTGTGTGCCGGTTCCGCAGGCAAAGGATTAGCCTGTTGAGCTGTGGCGCTGGCCTATTTATTTTTTAAGATTTACTCATTTATTTACTTGAAAGGCAGAACAACAGAGAGGAAGAGACAGATCTTCTATCCAGTGGTTCATTCCCCAGATGGCCACAACAGCCAGGTCTGGACCAGGCAAGCTTCTTCCTGGTTTCCCCACATAGTGGGCAGGGGCCCAAGCTTTCCGATGCCTTCCTAGATCATTATTAGGCAGTGGGATCAGAAGCAGAGCAGTTTGGACTTGAACAGGCACTCTGATTTGGGATGCCAGCGTCACAAGTGTTGGCATAACCAGCTTTGGACCTCAACACCAGCCCTTGGAGTATGTTTTTCTATATTGACCTTGAAGCTGATTTTGGAGATTCTGATTTTAATCTAATGTCAGCAAGGACTTAGGGGAGTCTTAGTCAAAGTTAGGAAAACTTACTCTCTTTGATATTCTGCCTTAACCAGTTGTATACTCAGTCTTAGTTGTTTTTGTGCAGGTTATAAGGTTGAACTCTTTTTTTTTTTTTTTTCTGAATGATGAGCCTGTTGCCTCGGCTCCATTTATTGAATATCTGTTATTTTCTTACTGATTATAGATAGCACATACATGAGGGAACTTGGAAAAATTTGTGGAGGGGCCAGTGCTGTGGTGCAGTGGTTTAAACTGCTCCATGAGGTGCCAGCATCCTGTATGGGTGCTTGTTTGAGTCCATGGTGTGCCAATTCCAATCCAGCTCCCTGCTAATGTGCCTGGGAAAGCAGCAAAGGATAGCCCAAGTCCTTGGGTCCCTGCACCCATGTCAGAGACCTGGATGAACCTACTGGCTTTGGCTTGGCCCAGCTTCACCTGTTGCAGCTATTTGGGGAGTGAACCAACAGATGGAAGACCTCTCTGTCTCTATGTCTGTCTCTGTCTCTGTCTCTGTCTTTGTCTCTGTCTCTATCTCTAACTCTAACTCTTCTCTCTGTCTCTCTCTGTCTCTGTCTCTGTCTCTCTCTCTGTGACTCTGCCTTTCAAATAAAATAAATAAATCTTTTTAAAAGAAGGTTTCTGGAAAGTCAGGGCAAATGTTTGGCCTAGCAGTTGAGACTGCAGTTAGGACAGTAGCATTCCGTGTTACACGAATGCTTGGGTTTGATGCCTGGTTCTGTGCTTGACTCCAGCGTCCTGCTAATACAGACCCTGGGAGGCAGTGGTAGTTGCTCAAGTTACTGAGTTCCTGCTACCCCTGTGGGAGACTTTGACTGAGTGCTGAGCTCATAGCTTTGAGCCCAGCCAGGAATTGTTGCAGGCATCTGGAGAGAGAATCAACAGATTGTTCTCTTGTACAGTTGCGCTCTCTATCTCTCTCTCTTCCTGTCAAATAAAAAAATTAAAAATCTTAAAAAACATTTGTGGAAAGTAGAATTAAAAATTAAATTTATCTTGTTGCAAAATAATTTGAAATCTGCGCATATAAAAAGTCTTCAAAAAGTTAATGGAAAAAAGTACGTGGGATTTCTTTTTTTTTTAAAGATTTATTTATTTATATATTTGAAAGCCAGAGTTAGAGAAGGAGAGACAGAGAGAGAGAGAGAGAGATATCTATCTGGTGGTTCACTCCCCAGATGGTTGCAAAAGCCAGGGCTGGGCCAAACTGAAGCCAGGAGCAAGGAGCTTCATTCAGGTCTCTCATTTGGATTCAGGGGCTCAGAAACTTGGGCCATCTTCCGCTGCTTTCCCTGGTGCACTAGCAGGGAGCTGTATCAGAAGCGGAGCAGTAAGTACTCAAACCGGCGCCCATATGGGATGTCAACTTCGCAGGCAGCTCAACCCACTATGTCACAATGCTTGCCCCTGTTGGTTTCTGCTTTTAAAAAAAAAGTTTATTTATTTATTTATTTGAAAGTCAGAGTTAGAAGGAGAAGCAGAAAGAAACTATATGTGGATTTCAAAATAAACTTAGCTTTTAAATTTCATGTTTTTTTGTGAACTTTATCTCTTTTTTTAGATAGTTTTATTTTTCTCTCTCTCTTTTTTTTTTTAAATTTACTTATTTGGAAGGCAGAGTTACAGAAAAGCAGAGGCAGAGAGAGAGAGAGGTCTTCCATCCACTGGTTCACTCCCCAAATAGCCACAATGGCCAGAGCTGGGCTGATCTGAAGCCAGGAGCCAGGAGCCTCTTCCAAGTCTCCCATGCCCTTGCAGGGGCCCAAGGACTTGGGCCATCTTCTACTGCTTTCCCAGTCCATAGCAGAGAGCTGGATCGAAAGTGGAGCAGCCAGGACTTGAACCGGCACCCATATGGAATGCTGGCACTGCAGGCAGAGGCTTTACCTGCTAAGCCACAACGCCAGCCCCTCCGTGAACTTTCTGAAGTACCCTAATGCATAAATATCAAGACATTTCGATCTCCCCTTCATCTTTTTGTCATTCTGTCACTAACAGCATGCAGCTTTAATGACAGAAACTGTCGATGCTTTTATCTTCTAGTAAGTACCAACACTTCCTTTATCACTTTTTAATTAAAATGTTCTTGGGAGCCGGTGCCGTGGCTCTCTAGGCTAATCCTCTGCCTTGCGGCGCCGGCACACCGGGTTCTAGTCCCGGTCGGGGCGCCGGATTCTGTCCCGGTTGCCCCTCTTCCAGGCCAGCTCTCTGCTGTGGCCCGGGAAGGCAGTGGAGGATGGCCCAAGTCCTTGGGCCCTGCACCCCATGGGAGATCAGGATAAGTACCTGGCTCCTGCCATCGGATCAGCATGGTGCGCCGGCTGCAGCACGCTGGCCGCGGCGGCCATTGGAGGGTGAACCAACGGCAAAGGAAGATCTTTCTCTCTGTCTCTCTCTCTCACTGTCCACTCTGCCTGTCCAAAAAAAAAAAAAAAAAAAAAAGAAAGTTCTTGGGTATTCTTGTGCATTTAAAAAAAATATGGTTAAAAATATGTAACATGAGATCTGTCCTCTTAAATGTTAAGTGTACAGAACATTATGATGTACATTTTGTTGTATGGGGGTCTCTGGAAGTGTTCCCTCTTGCATGGCTAATCCCTCAGCCATGCAAGTCAGTCCCATACCTGCTGAACAGCAGCTCTCCCTGGCTCCCTTGTCCCCATCTCCTGGCAGCCACTGTCACACTTCTTGCTTTTATGAATGTGACTACCTCAGAGTTCCTCCCATGTGTTGAACCATGCAGTTTTTATCTTACGACTGGCTTGTTTTACCTAGAATAATACCCTAATTCTAATAATTTCCTAATACTACCCTACTATTCTAATACTTAGAATAACAATTTTCTTTTTTGAAGCTGAAGAATATTCCATTGTATGTATTTACCGCATTTTCTTTATCTGTTCATTCAATGATGGATATTTAGGTTGTTTTTATTTCTTGGCTATTGCGAATAATGCTTCTGTGAAAGTAGGAGGGAAAGTGCTTCTTTGAATTCCTAATTTCAGGTATTTTGTCTAAATACCCAGAAGTGGGATGGCTGGTTCATCTGATGACTGTTTTGAATGATTTAAGGAAGCTGCATACCATTTTCCACAGCAGGTGCAGAGGTTTACATTCCAGTCAACACTGCATACAGTTCCAGTTCCTCCATATTCTTGTTGCCACTTGTTATTTTCTGCTGTTTTTTTTTTTTTTTTTTAAATGGTTGCTGTCCTAAGAGGTTTTGACCTGGAAATAATCAGCAAAGCTGAGCATCTTTTTATGTACTCAAGGGTCATTTGTATATCTTCTTTTTCTTTTAAAATCTATTTATTTATTTGTAAGGCAGAGTTGCAGAGAGATCTTTCATTTGCAGGTTCACTCCCCAAACAGCCACAACTGCCAGGGCTGAGCTGGGCTAGGGGGAAGCCAGGAGCCAGGAACTTCTTCGCCATCTCCCATGTGGGTACAGGGTTCAAGTGCTTAGGCCATTTTCTGCTGCTTTCTCAGGGACATTAGTAGGAATTGGATTGGAAGTGGAGCAGCTGGTACTTGAACCAGCGTCCAAATGGCAGGCCAGTATCTTAGGCAGTGGCTCAGCCTGCTGTGCCACAATGTTGGCCCTGTATATCTTCTTTTGACTTAAGTTTTTGCCATTGCATTGTAGGAGTTCCTTATATATTTTCAATATTAACCCCTTATCAGACATCAGTTTCCAAATATTTTATACCATTCCCTAATTTTCTTTTTCATTCTGCTGATTGTTGCCTTTGCTGCACAGAAACATTTTTAATTTGCTGAATCCCTTTTGTCTGTATTTGATGTATTGACTGGGCTTTTAATGTTAAGAAAAAAATTTCCAAGACCAATGTAGCCAACTTTTCCCTTTCATTTTCTTCTAGGAGTTTTATAGTTTCAGATCTTAAAATTCCAGTCTTTAATCTATTTTGAGTTGGTTTTGTATAAGAGAAGGTTTCAGTTTCATTGTTTTGTTTGTGTTTATCTAATTGTTCTAGAACTATTTGTTGAAAGAGATTATCCTTTCTAGATAATACAGTCATCACGCCCTTGCCAAAAGTTCAGTTGACCTTATATGTGTGGTTTTATTTTTTAATCTATTCTGTTCCATTAGTTTCTGTAGCTCCACTTTGGTATTTCAAATTGATTGCATTTTCCAGTTACTTAGGAATTAGAAGACTAGAGGCCATCTTTCAGTTAGTGAGATGCTTTGGCTCAATATTCTTTTGCACATGTTTTCTACCCTTTATAGTTGTATAGGATTGTAGTTCAGTTATTGTGAATTATAGTGAATTAAGCATTCTGGACCAGTAGCTCAGCTAAGAACTCCTAATAAAGCTGGACAAAATTTTTAAAAAAGACTGATTAGACAATATATCTGAAAATATATATATAGGGCTAAAACTTCCTGAAAAAAGTAATCAAGAAAATGAACATTTTTCTCTTAAGAGTACATGCTAATTATAGAAGTGTTGGAGATGTTGAGATTTTGAGTAGCTTCCAGAGTTGGGAGCAAATTCTGGAATTTCAGGGCCTGCCAAAGAGAAGAGTCATAGTAAACCTTTACTACATTTAGAAGTTGATACCTTCAAAGACTATACTCTGTAAGAAAGGACGAAGTGGAAATAGACTTACCTTTGGAGGACTGAAGTTTAGCCTCAATTATTTGAATCCTGAAATTGTGTTAAAGTGATCCACCTTTGTCAGTCTGTTAGGAGACTGCTACAAGCTAATGTAAATACTCTTTAATGAAAGATTATATCTTCCCAGGCATCGTAGTATCTAATTTTTCATGTGCAGTGTTTCAGGCTTCATTCAAAAATGAGTTCACAAAGTTTCCAGACAATGTGACTAAAACCACAGAGAGAAAATAGACAGTGAACTCAGATTCATGGTTCCTCAGATAATGGAATGGTCAAGCACTAATGAAAAGAACTGTTAATATGCTGAATTATTTACTTGAGAAACAGAGAGGGACACAGAAAGAGAAAAAGGAAACAAAAGGAGATCTTCCATCTGCTGTCTCACACTTGACATGCATGCAACATCTGAGACTGTGCTGGTACTGAAACTGGGAGCCAGAATGGTGTCTAGAAAGATTTCTAGGTCTCCCACAGGGGTGGCAGGAACCCAGTCACTTCAGCTGTCACTGCTGTTTCCCAGGGTCTGTAGCTGGAATGAGCAACTGGAGCTGGGCATTGAAGCTAAGCATTTCAGTGTGGGACACAGGTATTTGAACCAACACCTTCGTTGCTAGGCTAAATGCATGACCAGATTTTAAAGCTTTTGTGGGGAAAAAAATGATCATTGACAAAAGCTAAACAAAGCTTGACACAGGTGTTGCTGAAACAGTTTTTAAGCTGCAAACTACACCTTACGATTTGTAGAAGCAACCTATGATCTTGGAACAGTGAGAAGTTTTAGCTTTGAAAACCCTTTATTGGAACTTTGTTGAACCATATAAATATCTTGTGTATGTTCCTGATGGACTTAACAGTGGCTAAACAGAATGTTTACAACAGGGCCTGGTGATGTTGCACAGTGGTTTAAGCCTTATTTGCTGTGCCTGCTTCCCATGTTCAAGCACCAACCTGAGTCCCAGCTGTACTGTTTCCAATCCTGGGAAGGCAGCAGGTGATGGACCAAGTGACTGGGCCCCTGTCACCAATATGGGAGACATGAATGGGCTTCCTGGCTCCTGGGTTCTGCCTGTCCCAGACCTGGCTGTTTCAGCCATTTGGGAAGTGGACTAATGGATGGAAGATACCTCTTCTGGCCCTGCCCCACCCTGCCCCTTGCTGGCTGGCTGTCTGGCTGTCTGGATTGTATCCTCCCTGGCCCCGTCCCACTCCGCCCCTTGTTGGCTGGCTGGCTGGCTGGCTGTCTCCCTCTCTACTCTTCAAATAAATGAACAAATTTTTAGAAAACCTGTAACAAACTTTTGTAGGTTAATTTACTTATTAGAATTTGTACAGACAAATAAAAATTCATGCTTTTAAATGGTGTTAACTGAATTCTAAAATACAAGAACACTTCAGAAAGTCTGTGTAAAATGAGATTGTTAGATTTATATTGGTGCAAAAAATCTGAATCCATCTGTAAGTTTTTCATAATATGCATTTCTCATGAACTTGTTAAAGACCTCTCATAATCCTTTGCTTCTCTTTTCTTCCTTAGTGTACCTCAATAAACACTACCAGAGACACAGCCTGCAGGGAAGATGCTTTTAAGGTTTATTTTCTCCTTAGGGTGACAGTAAAGGGAGAGAACGAGATCTGAGAATAGATCATACTTGTGTTAATTTTGCATTTTGTTAAAAGAACACTATTTGAATCATTTACTATCTTACATTAATGGCAACTTTTGCTCATTTTTATAGGGAAGAATGGACAGAAGCTATCCAGGCTGTAGCAGACAGACTGCAAAGGCAAGAAGAGGAGAGAATGAATTGTAGTCCAACTTCACAAATTGATAATATAGGGGAGGAAGAGATGGATGCTTCTACAACTCATCATAAAAGAAAGGTAGAAAGTAATGATACGTTACTAATAACTTATTCAACGTGACACATACTTGTCAGGAAGCAGTGCTAGAAGTTGCCGTTTGCAGAAAGATGTTCTCCAGTTTTCTTACTATTTATAAGCATCTCAGTGGTTTTCAGTCATGTGGATTTGAAATATCTAACACTGTTCCAAAGCAGGTAGCCGTGGCTTCATTTCAGTAGCTCAGCACTTCAGCCCTGAGTGCCCAGGGGTCCGTGGCTGAGGTGCCATTATACTACTGATAATCTGCATTTTTCTCTTAACTATTTTTAATACTATTTTACAAACTTGGAAATAATATGCTACTTTGAATGACCTACTCTTGTGAACCAGTAGATATTACATGTTTTCCTGAAAGCAGGGCAGAAATGGCTCTGAGGCCTTCCTGCTTAGTGTTCTCAGCCTCAATAAAGTCAGCTGGAAAGTGAGCACGCCTGGAAACCAGAGCTTTCATTTAACAGCTGCTGCTGAGCTAGTGAGGGAAGCAGACCTTTCCTTCTGTCGGTGCTCCAGAGTAAGAAGTACTAATTTCTCTTTTTGTGAGAGTTATACATCATGTTTTCCCTTGCCATAGAAAATTGAAAAGCCACTTCCTTATAATATAGGAAATTATATTAACCCAAAGAAAGAGGTATTAGAAAGAAATAAGCACACCCTTTATCATTATAGAATATTTGCTATATTAGGTTGTAAATTCAACTTCAGGTGGGAATACCCAAATTTTGAAGATACTATCCATGAAATTTGGAGTTACCATGGTAATTAAAAATTTTTTTTTGTCAGTTTGAATTCAATTCCTCCTTCATCTACATTCTAAACAGATGAACTTGTTGAAGTTAAAGAGTCAAACTTAGAGTGAATTATCCTTACGTGAAGATTCTGTCTCAACATAATGGTCTCTGCTTGATGTTGGGCAAACATCTGAGGACTGTTTCTGTCATCTTTGTAGACTTAAGTCTGTTTTGAATTGAATCTGCCTTTGAGTCAATCTTACCTGCTTTGTTACTCAGTCAAAAAGAAAAACAAAATGTAGCTTTACCTAAACACTAACGGGAAAATATGATGAAAGACTGTCCCATTCCAAAAAAAAAAAAAAAAAAAAAAAAAAAAACCACAACAACAAAAAACAAACTACATTGGCTCTTCTGTGTTTTAATTCTGTGGAATATCTACAATTCTGCTTAACAAATTAATAAAATACAGTTAGAGATTTAAAATGGTGAGTTTTGAACACCTTAAGGTGAAGTGCTATGGAAATGTAGATGGAAATGAATATGGAAGTTTACTGGAAGAACATTGAGTGAAGAGTCAAAAGTTTGAAAGATATAAAAGTGGAAACACATAGAGGCTGGTTATAAACTATATTAGGAGCATCATATGTCTTCCTCTTTTTACAGTTACTAGTGTGTGTTTTCAGGGAATTCGTCCCTGTTACTAATTATCACTTGTAACCATGCTTACTTTTGCTAGACTCTGAGTGCATGCTGTACATTGTTTAGTTCATTTGAGAATCATCTGAGGTAGTACTATCACCCTGTGGTGCAGTTGAGTCATCTGGTAGGCCAAGAAGGTAAATGTTGTAAGCATAGAGGTCTTTCAGTTGTATACTGTACAACTTCAAGGTGCAAATTATTTCCTTTTTTTGGTTCATATATTTTTATTCTCTACTTGAATAATGTATAAATTATTACAACATAATCAAACCATACTGAAAGTAAAATTATGCAGATATTCTCTCTCATGATTATAGTGTTTCTCAAAATATCATGGAAAACTGTTGTACTACCACAGTGCTTGAATGTTAGTTAATTTAATTTTATAATAAAATTTCTTGGAAAAAATCTGTAGAATTTTAATATTGTAAAATAGTGGTAGAATATGATTATCTCAGAGTCTTACTGCCTGGATTCAGATCCTGGCTTCACTATAGATGTAATTGGGACAGAAGTTTCTAAACCCTTCCATCCTTTCCTTTTCTACAAAAAGGGGATGGTAGTGTACTTAATGTAGCTAATATATTCGTCAGCTTTAAAATAAAGAAATGTGTTTGAAGGGCTTAATAGTAAGTGCTTAGTGAATATTAATTACCATTGTTAGCTAGTATTCTACTTTGACCACATAATGGACAAAGTAAACATCTTTTAAAAGCAAATTGTCGGGCCTCTGCTGCAGCTCATTAGACTAATCCTCCGCCTGCTGTGCAGGCAACCCGGGTTCTAGTCCCGGTTGGGGGCCAGGTTCTTTTGCTCCTCTTCCAGTCCAGCTCTCTGCTGTGGCCCAGGAGTGCAGTGGAGGATGGCCCTGCAACCGCATGGGAGACCAGGAGGAAGCACCTGGTTCCTGGCTTTGGATTGGTGCACAGAGGTAGCGGCCATTTAGGGGGTGAACCAACGGAAAAAGACCTTTCTCTCTGTCTCTCTCTCACTGTCTAACTCTGCCTGTCAAAAAAAAAAAAAAAAGCAAATTTTCTTAGAATTCTTTTTTGAAACTCAGTTTCCAAAATGAAGAATTGATAGTAGCATTTTGAATTTATTTGGGTTGGTCTTAACTGTAGCTAATTTGTTACTGTCGTTCTGTATTTCATTTTAAATGAAATAATTTAAAATGGTTTTAAAATTAAAAAGTACAGGAAACAATAGGAACATTTCTAACACTGCCTCTTCTATAATGGTCCTAATGACTTAGAAGTGGCAAAATGCTACTGTCACTTCTGTAAGGTAAATAAGTCTAGAACTACACCTTTTATGTGGATCAGTTTTCCTGAAAGGAATTGTGGAAGTTCAGATTATTTTTAGTTTTAGACTATAACACAAACTCTGAAATAAGAATATTCTCATAATTTATGGATTACATTTTCTTCTTTGCTCACTTTTCTTTAAAAAAAAAAAAAGATGTATTTTTTTTTTTTTTGGAAGGCAGTTACAGGGCCGGCGCCGTGCCTCACTTGGCTAATCCTCCACCTGCGGCGCCAGCACCCCGGGTTCTAGTCCCGGTCGGGGCGCCGGATTCTGTCCCAGTTGCTTCTCTTCCAGTCCAGCTCTCTGCTGTGGCCCGGGAAGGCAGTGGAGGATGGCCCAAGTGCTTGGGCCCTGCACCCACATGGGAGACCAGGAGGAAGCACCTGGTTCTTGGCTTCAGATCAGCGCAGCACGCCGGCTGTAGCGGCCAATTGAGGGGTGAACCAACAGAAAAAAAAGGAAGAACTTTCTCTCTAACTCTGCCTGTCAAAAAAAAAAAAAAAAGAAAAGAAAAAAGAAAGAAAGAAAGAAAAAGAAAAGGCAGAATTACAGAGAGGCAGAAACAGAGAGAGAAGTCTTCCATCCACTGGTTCGCTCCCCAGATGGCTGCAACAGTCAGAGCTGAGCCAATCTGAAGCCAGGAACCAGGAGCTTCTTTTGGATCTCTCATTTGAATGTAGGGGCCCAAGCACTTGGGCCATCTTCCACTGCTTTCCCAGTCCACAGCAGAGAGCTGGATGGGAAGTGGGGCAGCCAGCACTCAAACTGGTGCCCATATGGGATGCTGGCGCTGCAGGCGGTGGCTTTACCTGCTATGCCACAGTGCTGGCCCCATTTACTCACTTTTGATAAATGGGTAATAGCATTCGGAGGGTAGTTGCTGACTCTGGTCGCTGTGCTGGGAGTGGTCTTGACTGGTGCCTTCTGTATGAAGCTACAGGCAGGCAGTTACTTGCTTTAGTCATAGTGTATTTCCACGGTGGCTGTTCTGTCATTCAAAATCTGTCTTGGGGGAGGAATGAAGGGGGTGGAGAAAAGTGACAGAGACCGCTCAGCAAGATTTGGATGCTGTGTCCATGTGTAGATTAAAAGATGGTATTGTGCAGGAATTTGATTAGGAGATTCGAAAGTGCTTGATCTTGGTCCGCCAAGCTGCCCTTCTCATTTTGTCTGATACGTGAAGGGCCTCAGTGTGAAAACATAAAAAGCCAAATGAGAGTTGAAGTTTTACTGAGCTTTTAACTGTCTAATGGAGGCTTTTCTGGGAGCAGCTGGTTGAGTCCAGTTTTTGAAATGTTATCACCTCGTGCCTTCCTGCAGTAACTCAAAGCAGTGGCTAGTAGGCACCATAATAGAGAAGAAGAGATGGTGGGTCATCCTGAAATCATGGGCTCTAACACTCAGGAAGATGGAGAGGCATAATAGACGTTGCATAAGTTGATTAATCAGATTAGCTCCTCTTCTCCTGTGGGAAGGGCACAGAGATCAACTTCAGGAGACCACTTCTCTTATTTTTAATCTCCTTGGTTTTGCTCTTACATGGTAAATGCATCTAGAATGTACTTTTTTGGAGCAAATATTGCTAATACTTTTGTGTTCTTTTCTGAGAAGTTCCTTTTATTTCTCACCAATTAGGTATTCATTTATTTATTTATTTTGAAGATTTATTTGCAGGCAGAGTTACAGAGAGGCAGAGAGGGAAGGGGAGGGGAGGGGGAGAAGGAGAGGGAGGGAGAAGGAGGGAAGGAGAGTCACGGGGGAGGGGGAATCTTCCATCTGCTGGTTCACTCCCCAGTTGGCCACAACGGCTGGAGCTGCGCCAACTGAAGCCAAGAGCCAGGAGTTTCCTCCGAGTCTTCTATGTGGGTGTAGGAGCCCAAGGACTTGGGCCATCTTCTACTGCTTTTCCAGGCCATAGCAGAGACCAGGATTGGAAGTGGAGCAGCTGAGACTTGAACTGGTGCTCATATGGGTTGCTGGCACCACAGGTAGTTTCTTTACTGGCTACTCCACAGTGCCAGCCCCATGTATTCATTTAAAAAATTCAATTTGTTGACTAGACAGTTAGTCTTTCTTAATTCTAGTGTGTGTGTGATTTTAATACATTTATCTAGCATGCAACTCTTAACCTAAAACAATTATGTTAACATGCAAAGGAAAAAATATAACTATGTAAAATATTTCCCTTATTGATTCTTAGTACTGGACTTTGGAGGATTAATTTTGCATGGAGAATATCCATGCTCTATTTAAAAAAATATTACTTGAGATTTTATCCCCATCACTTTCTTAATATTATCCAGAAGAGGGAAACATTTTATAATAGTTTACATATCATTTGTTGAGACTAGATAATTATTGTATATACCACTGAACATAAGCATTTGGTGTCAAGATATTTTTAATTTTCTGAAGTTTTGTCAAAACAGATAATAAAATTTATTTCTGGTTATGTCACATAGAATGCTTTTTAACCACTATTTTTTTAAAGATTTATTTATTTGAAAGGCAGAGTTAGTGAGAGGCAGTGTGTGTGAGAGAGAGGGGGTGGGGGTGGGGGAGGTCTCCATCCACTGGTTCACTCCCCAGATGGCTGCAACGGCCAGAGCTGCTCCAATCTAAAGCCAGGGGCCAGGAGCGTCTTCCTGGTCTCCCGTGTGGGTGCAGGGGCCCAAGGACTTGGGCCATCTTCTGCTTCCAATCCAGCTCTCTGCTGTGGCCTGGGAAAGCAATGGAAGATGGCTCAAGTCTTGCGGCCCCTGTACCCACATGGGAGATCTGGAAGAAGCTCCTGGCCCCCTGGCTTCTGATCTGAGCAGCTCCTGCCGTTGCGGCCATCTGGGAAGTGAACCAGTGGATGGAAGACATTATCTCTCTCCCCCTCCCCTCCCCATTCCTCTCCCCCACCCCTCCCTCTCCCCCTTCCCTCCTCCTCCCCTCCCCCTTCCCTCCTCCTCCCCTCCCC